TTTAAAGTTGTTCTGGTTACCTTGTGGGTTCCCAGAATTCTGTCCCACCTCTTTTCTCTTTTCCTTCCTTTTTATCTTAGCTATCTCTTTCCTTTTCTTTAATTCTAAGGCATACAGGTGTGCAGCTCTCCCATACACTTCATCCAAGGTTTCAAATACTTGCCCACATAGCTTTAACTGCAAATCAGTAGTTAGTCCACTCTCAAACTTCTTAGCCTTAGACTTTTCTGTAGAAATAGACTCCTTAGCAAATCGTGACAGCTCAATAAACTTTGTGTAGTATTCAGTGACTGACATATTCCCCATTGCAAGATTAGAAAATTCCTCAGCTTTTTGTTTTTGTAAGAAGCTAAGGTAAAACTTGTCCCTAACCTTCTCCTGAAACGTAGTCCAGTCAAATCCAGGTAATGCCATAATGGTAGCTTCATTTTGCTACCACCAAAGGTCAGCTTCACCCCTAAGGTAATAGGTAGCACAACCTACTTTCGAGTTCTTTAGACACCCTACTGCCCCGAACAGTTTCTCAAACTCCCACAACAAGTTTTCCAGTACAGTTGAATCAGGCTCTCCTTGATTAGGTTGGTGGTTTGCTCTGCGCCACCTTCTTAAATAGCTCTCCTTGAGCATCTACATTATTGGTTTAGTTCCTAGCTAATTGTTGGGCAACAGCTGCCAACTACCTCACAACTTCACTTAGTTCTCCTCCATCATTGTTGTTACCACTCCCTCCTGCCATCTTTCTTTGCCTGAATTAAAACAAAAGGGTCTTTATTAAAAACGGTCTCGGCTAGCTCTCAAGTTAGACACCTATCTAATTCACACTCTTGTCATACTCATTAAATTTTAAGCTAACAAATTGGGATTACAAAAGTTGAAATTCCCAAACTTTGCAGCTTTGTCAACCAAATATTGATTGCTAACCAACCACACATTTAATAAAGCATCACATTAATAAATAATAATAATTCCCATGGATTCCCAAATTTTAGAATTAAATCATTGGAATATTTTAGAGTAAGAAATGACTTCTTGAAGTAGTAATACGGAATGAATGATTTGGGAACGAAATGAATGATTTGTCAATAAAATGAATTAATTGACAAGGAAATAAATGGAAAATTTTATTGCTGAGTAAGAAAATGATTGGAATACTGAAATAAAATGAGTTTAAATAACTTATGCAACTACATAAGTTTACTGGCTCACTGTGGACATGCCACTTATTGCTTTACTGGAACTGAAATAATTAAAATGCGGAAATAAATCTAAGAATCCTAAAAGAAATGAAACTACAAAAATCTAGTCCTTTCGAACATGATCTTTCTTTACTTTAACGAGGTAAGAAAGCAAGTATATGTAATCAGGGTACCACTGTCCATAGAAATTTTTGTATTTAGAGTAGTTTGGGATGTCCCCTGGTAAATAAAAATCAGAGAATTTTACAGCAAGATATGGGGGTTTATCTGGAAGATAGTGAATAATCATAGCAGAAACACGATAAGGAAGATCATAGCGCTTGTCTCCTAAGACATCGCTCATGTGGGAACAATAAAATTGAATTTTGTTGGCATAGTCAAACGGGTGTTCAAAGTCTTTCTTAACTAGAGTACCAATTTGGGAAAGTTTGTTAGGAAGAATTGGCATCCTGTAAAGGAAAAGGTTTAGAAAAGAATTCCCTTCCAAAAGAAAATAAAAACAATACAGTTCTTGCATGAATTAGGTTCAATGTTCAATCAAACAATTTCACTTATTCTAATCATATAATCACGTGCTTTCATTTAATCAATCCACATGATCAAACATCACAACCTAAAATATTAATGCATACAGGAACATGATTATTTCCAACTTATATGCCCAAATTCTTTCCTACGCAAGCTCACCAACATGCTTTTAAAAGCTTTTAACACATAATACTTCCCTCAATCCTTACTTTCCTGCAAAATGAACAAACTAAAAATATTTTTGTCTCTTTTTTTTTTTAAATTACTTTTCAAAAATAAGCCCGAAAAGAACCAAAACATTAGGCCAAATAAAAAAAAAAAAATCGGACACCAAAAATAAAAAATAAAAAATAAAAATTCGGATGTCCCTTTTAATAAAAAGAAATTCGGATTTTTCAAAATAAAAAAAAATTCGAACCTTTTTAAAAAATAATAAATAAATTTTTTCCAATTTCCAAAAATTAAAATAAGTGAAAATAACTCACTTTTAAAATACTTAATTAAATAAGCACTTGGCCAAGTTTAAAAACAAAACACTTTAAAACACATTTTTGGCTTTAGTGGTAATAAAAATCTCAACCAAAGCTCCCAAATAACACTTTGTAACACCCTAGAAGTTTCTTTCCTTTTTAAATACCTGTTTTTCCCTTTTAAAAATACGAAATAGGAAAATCTAAGACGTTACCGCCACCGTGAAAACGGCTAAGGCAAATATAAAAGACTCACACAGCGGAAGACTATCTTTAAAACCATTTAAAACAAGTCAAGTTTAAAAAAGTCAAACCAAAAGAAAGTAAAGTCAAACTAAGTCAACCTACAACTTGGAACCATTGTAGGCCCTCAAAACCAAACAATATTAAAAACCCTTACATTAGTCTCATGAGCACAATAAAATAAATAATATTCAAAGCAAATAAACACACCATATTCCTATGGAAACTAAGCATGATTCGCTCTTCACTTATGCCCATCATGAATATGCTTCTTCACCTAAAAAGCTTCTCTCTACTTGTCCCCACTACTCGCCATTAGAAATGGGTCGTCGTAGGGCCAGGGTAAAGACAAGGCCAAACAAACACACAAACACACAATCAGCAATGCTGAGTACATAAGCGTAATAAAAACACACTAACATGCTTTCATCCTATCATCACACAACTTACCTTGTTGCACCTGTTTACAAGCATAAAATACATTCAACACACAACTATACAACTACCAATGTCCATTTAATTTGATTACGTATCGAACGGGTTTCCCACTAGCCTGCCCCAATAAAGGGGTACTAACCCGGGAGCTAATCGTGCCAGTATAAAAGAAACCACTAGTAAGTGGCGGAATTCCTACGCATAATAAAAAGGAATATACAGCGTCCTGTACTCCCAGTAGAAGTTATGGTCAAATATAAAGTCACATAACTCCCCTCATATGTTCATACTCAAGGTATATACGTTCCAAGAGTTTTTGTGCTAATCTATTTCACTTTACGTTGTTTACATATTTTTAGACTCGGTGATGACTCTCAAACCATAATACAATCAATCATTATAACTCATTCAAGCAACCAAACATACCAACACTACACGAAAAACCTAATTTGGCACCGGTTCAAACCCCCCTTAAGGCACCGGTTTTGAACCGTTGGGGATTTGAGGGATGCCAAATCCTCAAAAATTTGAAACCGATTCAAAACCGGAGCCAACTAAAGCCATTTGGCACCGGTTAACCGGTGCCAACTACCTTGAATTTAATAAAAAAACAAACTGGCGCCACTAAGTTGGCACCGGTTAACCGGTGCCAAATAAAGCCATTTAGCACCGGTTAACCGGTGCCAACTTTAATGGCGCCAGTTTTTTTTTTTTTTAATAAATTCAATGTAGTTGGCACCGGTTTTAAGCATGAACCGGTGCCTTTGACTTGTTTTTTTTTTTTTTTTTTTTTTTTTTTTTTTTTCTGGAAATAATATATATTAATATTAATACTAATAAATATAATAATAATGAGATCATGCACATAATACCGATAATTAGTAATAATAATAATTGAAAATAATAATAAGGACATAAATATTGATAACCATCCCAAAATATGATATTAATTATAAAAATGTGGCATAACTACAAACAAACAAAATTAATTAGTAATAATGTAGTACACTAAGCTAGTTGGAACAGAAATAAATGATATTTACAAATTAAATGTGATGTAGGCCGCCAACATGTCTCGAATTACATTGAGTTCCTCCCTCGTGAACGGATTTCCCGTTTGTCCCTTGCAAAACTTGGAATACATACACAAAACGTAAGTTAGTAGGAGTGAACTCATAAATAGTCATAACATGTCTTAATCAGTTATTTATAGGTGGCCAATACTTGAAATTACAAGAAAATAGCAATTAAGGGGTTTTAGAACGCAATTTCAACAAAAATGGCCCGAGTAAGGTCAATTTCACTACTAGGATGCCTATTTCCTACATTTCTTGTCAAGTGAACTCATAAATAGTCATAACATGTCTTAATCACTTATTTATAGGTGGCCAAGGCTTGAAATTACAAGAAAATAGAAATTAAGGGGTTTTAGAACGCTTTTTCAACCAAAATGGCCCGAGTAAGGCCATTTTCACTACTAGGATGCCTATTTCCTACATTTCTTGTCAAGTGTACTCATAAATAGTCATAACATGTCTTAATTACTTAGTTATAGGTGGCCAAGGCTTGAAATTACAAGAAAATAGCGATTAAGGGGTTTTAGAACGCTTTTTCAACCAAAATGGCATACCTCTTCAAGCTGTTGTGTGTCTATACAATGACTCACTATGTCAAACATGAATCTCATCACGTATAGGCCACAATCAACTCCGTTATCTTGTTGTGCGCACTAGCATGAGGAACAAAGTACATGAATCAAACATACATAGCAAATTAGCAACATCTTACGCATTGTATATTACGAAAATCACAGTATCATGTGTCATTACAATCGGTGATTTCCATGTAGGACCTCGAGGAGCTCAAGAATTTATCTTCTTCATAACACTACATAGAAAAATAAGTTCAAATTTGATTAGTATAATTAATATATATGAGTTAGGTTATGATAATCAATAACAAGAATTGAAGCGATGTATATTTACTTTTGCAGTATGGACTTCACGAGGCGCTTTCTTGGTTGAGGTTACCGAGCAGAATCAAAGAAGAAGATTGTGTTATTGGAAACACAAATCACCAGTAGGGTCCAATGATAATTACGTACATACATTCACACGAGACAAACAAATCAATTATTAGGCAAGTGCAGCATATAAACTGGGAAAACAAATGAATTTAACAAGCATAATCTGATGTACTCCTCATAATATGGGGCAAATATAAACATGTCTCCCGCACGCACTGATTCCTTGATACCCCGTTCAACATAGTACAACACGTCAGCGTGGTTGCCTAAGATTCTAGCAGTGGAGATCTGCTCAGGGCATAACCACCCAATTTGACATGGAGAACCAAGCTCCCATAAGTGCTCCTGGAGTGCTCTACATGCATGATAATAGAATGTTAATCGAAAACCAACCGACAATCACCACGAAACTGAATAACATAAATTGAGTACTAGTTGAGTTACCTGATGCATATTTGAATGAGGGAAATGTTAAGCATTGCACCACTTAGAAATTCCTTCACATCTTCTTTGAATAGCCATGCCATTGCATCATCATCGTAATGGAACATTTCCTTAGGTAGTGGAACTTGAATAGGGCTGTCACTAGGCAACACGCAAACACGGTTGTGCAGATAAGTTAACTCCTTAGAGAGCGATTGAAGCACCGTGTCTTCAACTAGTGGAGTAGCTTGCATAGCTGAACCTCGTGAAGAGCTCTTGTTCGACGCTTTTCCACTCACAGAGCCATGTTCACTCCTCTTCTTTGGCATCGGTTGATCAATGCTTTTTGGCCCCTCCACCCTCTTCTTTGGAGTTTGGCTTTTCCTCGATGGCTAATAAGACAAATCACACAAATGGTTAGAAAAGAATTTCATCCAACTCTTGGAATGAAAATCGGGTATAGGGTAAAGTGTGAACATTAAATCTTAATTACCTGGTTCGTCAACCATATCCAAGCACATGGCCATTGCAAAAAACTACCTTTTGCCGCCCAAAGTGTATTTAACTCATCCTCCTCTACGGGCACAGGTATTAGGATGTCCTCGAACCCGACAACCACAGAATGGATCCCGACCGAATAATGCTCAGGTCGAAGCGGTCGCAAATGGACCGTACCTTGTTCGGCCGGTTGTGTACTACCATATGCAACGACATTCAAAGCTCCACTAAGTGATTCGCCCGGGTGAAGAATTTCACAACGGGTCTCTTCCTGCACCAATTTGGAATATCACTTGTAAGAAACAAGTAGAACAAAAAAAAGGGAACAACAATGGTATTATTTTAGACTAATTTTGCATTGATACTTTAGACTAAAAAGTAGCGTGTTAATTATTTCAAGTGGTATTATGGAATAAGAAAGCTTAGTCAAGTAAATAGGTGATAGTATGGTACGGGGCCATTAAGGGAGTATATACTTTGCCATTTTATGGACTTTTGTATCTAAGACGCATGCTATTGTCATGCTATCTTCCTGGGAAAGCTATGGAACCTTAAAGAGATAATTGAATGCCCTCTTCTCAATATTTGGAGAAGGATTAAAAACTTTCCTACATGCTAAAACTAATCTTAAACCTTTTCCGATTACATAGTCTTTCAAAACTAAATAGAAAATCCTTGAAGACACAACAAAAGCAGAACAACCATCAGCACAGCTGCACAGCTGCTGCATGTTGCTTCACAGTGGTGCACTCTGCTGTGCACTGGTGCTTCCTGCACTGGTGCTACTTGCACTGGTGCTGTTTCAATGGAGGGATGCATATGGAGTACTACTTCAATGGAGGATGAGAAAGCTTGCAGCCCTTAAATGGAACCTTCAATGAAAGCTTCAATGGAGGGAGGGTTTGGGAAGATGGAATGCGCGCGTTTGGAGATGAAAGCAGAAACAATTGAAAGAATTGAATTGAATGAAAATGAAGAAGAAAATAATAACGTTGCAAACCGGATTTTTTTTTTTTTTAATTTAGCACCGGTTCAAACCGGTGCTAAATTCTAAGGTTTCCACCGATTTAAGTGGAACCGGTGCCAACTCCTATGATTTCTAATTTTTTTTTTTTTTTTTTTTGGAGTTGGCACCGGTTTATACCGGTGCCAATTAAAGATGTTGGCACCGGTTTAGCTGTGAACCGGTGCCAACTAGGAAATTTCAATTCCCGCCCATATATGTTGGCACCGGTTTTCCAAGAATCAGTGCCATAGGGGGGATGCCTATTTCAAAAATTCTACTAGTGCAATTTAATTCTTGAATAATTAGTGACCACATAAATTTAAATGTTGAATCCTTTTTAAAACTATCTTGGTGTTAAATAACACCTTAAGTGCATAAAGCACCACAAATCCTATCTCTCGGTGTTAGAAACACCTTAAGTGCACTTAGGTACCAAAATATAATTTAATCCTCGTGTACATAGACACTTAAATAGCTCCTTCCTCATGCTTATATAGCATTAATATGAACCATAATAAAATTTCCTTTTCATATTCCAAACTAAATTAAACATTTAGTTTAATTAAACATGTTCTCTATCATACCAATAATAAAAGTGTGGTTCATAATCAACATGCCAACATAATTAATTCCAATAACTAATGCATCATAAGTAATTCATACATCACAAATCATTCACCAACATCAATCCAATAAACAAATTCCAACCAACACCTATCATGATACTACTTGGAATTAATTAAACAAAGTCTAGCATGCTTCTACACATTCAAACAATTACTAAGTACGCAAACGTACGTTGAATATGATCTCAAAATCGCCACGACTAAATAAAATCACTCACTTGGAAGTCTCCTACAAACCAAAATTACAAAGAAGTATTAATACCTCTTCCACACAAATTTCCAGCTATATATACTCTCTTTAAATCACTCATAAACCCTCTAAAACAAGATGAATTTTAATATAAAACCCTTACTTTTATTCCCAATTAATGGGTAATTAAAAATCCTTTCAAGAAACATAATTATAGCTTATATATAAAAATTCCAGCATTATTAAAACTTGTAAACTCGCTGTAATTTAATTTAAAACATTAATTTCAATAGTTTTAATCAACCACAATCAAATTCCATCAATAAACATTAATTTAGAAATCTAGGGTTTTCAATTTTGGGGATTTTTAATTCAAAACCAAATCTGAAAATTTATATAAAAAATACTTATCATCAAACATCCTAAAATCATCACAAAACCCAAATACAATAATTAGATTAAGGGTGGATTTAAATAAAAATTTAAAAAAGAAAAATAATTTTTTTTTTGAATTGTGCGCACGAACCACCATGGCTGGGCGGCTGTCGCGCTCCCGCCTGGTGGCCGCCGCTGCTGGCGTGCACAGGTGGTGGTGGCCGCCGGCCGGTGGTGGCGTGTGATGGTGGCTAGCCGGTGTGTGGTGGTGTGTGTGGGTGGTGATTAAAAAACTTAAAATTAAAATAAAAGGGAAGGGGAAAAAATAAAGGGAAAAAAGAATAAGAGGAGAGAGAGAGTTTACCTTTGGGTGCACTCCACCTTAGGCACATGCTGGGTATTTATACCCGCTCTCAATAACCCTCCTACTTAAAACTCCTTTACTACCCTTAATGATCCCTTTCCTAATCAAACTAGTATGTTTGACTTTCTTTAAAAACTCATTGACTTTAAAATTTCCTTATATAAAATAATATGCCCCAATATTTCCAAATCATGAAATAAAATATTTTCAAGATTATTAAATAATTAAAAATAAACTTTTAATTAAAATAATTCTTTTTAAATTAATGAAAACCATAAATAATTCATTTCGAATTATTTAAATACTTTAAGAAATACTTTTTTAAATTAAAATACGTATAAAATACGGGGTATTACACACAGGCAAGCAGACCAAGGAACTCAATTCTCATTTGTGAAATAAGCAAACAATTCTTTGATCTTTTGTCAAATGAGCAAATAATTGAATGCTCATTTGTCAAATGAGCAAATAACTCAATGCTCATTTGTGAAATAAGCATACAATTCTTTGCTCATTTGTCAAATGAACAAATAATTCAATGCTCATTTGTCAAATATTTGCTCATTTTGATTATATTTGCTCATTTTAATTATTTTTCTCCTATATTTGGAAAAGAAAAATGCATTGTTGTGCATATTGTGTATACTGAGTGCTTATAGATCCTTACTTGTGAATCTCATTAATATTTGCTCATTTTAATTCTAGTTTGCTCAATAACAAGTTCTGAAAACAATGAGAAATGTTCTATTATACATATTTAGGTTTTCTCATTTTAAGTTATTTGCTCATTTTAAATTTGATTGAAAATAAGAACATAATAACAACATTCAATTGAAAATAAGAACCTACTAACAACATAATAAGAGCATTCAATTGGAAATTTCAGAACATTTTTTTAATTTCTAATCATAAGTTTAATCTTACATCATTACAATCACTATCAAGTTTAATCTGATATTATTAAAATCTCTATCAAATTAGACAAACCTAAATAATTGATTCAATTCAATCAAATAATTGATGCAATTAAACATTATTAATGCAATTCGAAAATTAACATGTAATTCAATAATTGATGCAATTCCAAAATTTTCAGAGATGTAAAATAAAAATATTTTGAACATTAAGATTAACATGCAACTCAAAATTAAAAGTACGAACAAACCTCAATGATTGATGAAATTGTCAATCGTTGAAATCGTTTACTGTTTAACAAGAATAGGAGAGAGAAATTATCGACCAATGATAATTTGAGGTGCAGAAAGAACAACAAAATCAATGAATCGCCATTGATAAGTTTCGAACACTGATTTGCATACAGAATAGAGGAGAGAGATAACGCAGAGGTTGAAGCTATGAATTTGTTAGTTAGGTAGGCTTTGAGTTATAATTTCAGCTGTTGGATTTCATCTAATCTAGCGGCTGAGATTTGTCCTCACATAAGGTGTGGGTTCTCACATAAAGGGTGGTTCTCACCGGATCCCGACCCTATATGTATATTAAGAATTCATGGTTTGTGATAAAAGGGTATTTGTACAGTAATATCTTTTGACAAAATTTCCTTCTATGTCCCCTTTTTTTTTTATGTTAGTAAAGTGTGGGGCCTATTGGTAATTGTGTAAATTGTGATGATTTACGGATGACCCGCTTTGTATTTTTATATTTTTAAAATATTTTGAGAGTAGGCCACAATGCAAACATACACCTACACCTAACATTTAATTGTTAATTTACTCTGGCTTTTTTACAACACATGGTAGCATCTATATTAACAAAGTACCTACTAATGAATGAATCCATAATAGTTGAAAAACCTAAACCACATGAAATAAAATCATAAATAGATAAATATACAATAGTAATATTAGACGTATTACTATAAGATGATGAATGTACACAATCATATACGAAGTATAAAAAAAGGGGCATAAAAGAAGCTTTTCCGAAGTACTCTTAGTTACAACATGTGGGTGCATGCATATCCATTTATGTTGTAATACATATATATATATATATATATATATATATTATATTTAATATATATATATATTATTGTCTGATATTTTGTACTCGTATTTTACTATATTGCATAACTTAACTTTTTAAAGTCAAATTTGATCATATAATATTATAAACTCATAAACGAAGTAAATTGAGATAATATTGTAATTTTCTTAAAACTTTTTATTTTTCTTGTTGTGTGTGTTGGGTTTCGTAGAGTCCGACTCTACGCGGAAGAGAAACCCGCCCAAGATCCGCACGTACACTAA